CCGGTTATTGCGATAAATATTACGGTCGAATTGGTACGACGCCTTTCACGGAATGAGGGAGGTTCCGAGGTTTGAATCCTGGCTGAGGTAATATTTTTCGCAATAAATTCTTTACAGTTTATTAAAATAATTAAATTGCGTCGATTTAATTCCGGGGAGGAAAGGGTATTAATGTTCCAACGATAGCTGTGTTCCAAGTCCAACAAATAATCGGCGCGTAGTTTATTAAGTTGGGATATATGATGTATATAATGTATATTATATACATATTGTAATTTGTTACTTCTGTAACTATTAATTTCTTTACTTGCGCACCACGTATCGCGCCTGACTCATATAGCTGTTTATTAATTTGTTGTTATATATTTTTTGTTTGTAAATGTAAAATTTATTAATATATGTTTTTGTACAAAAAAGATATTGTGAAGAAAAAAATCTGTTTGCCAGATTGGATACAAGTTCATTACAAGTACATCTTATTGAATAAGTTTTTGTTACAAATTATTATATATCATATTTTTATAAGATATAAATAAAATTGTACTTTTTGTAAAATGTGCGCAATTTGACAAAACAATGCTTATGCACTTATTATATATTTGAAATTTATTTAACCTTTTGCAATTTTATTTTTTAAAGTACGTTTTATATATGTTGATTATTGAAGAAAATTTTATTATACATTGGAACAGTTAAATGATATTAATGAAAGCATCTCATATAAAATGTAATAACCCCTTTTAATTATTTGAATAAATTTCTCAGTTAAATGATTCAATGTAAAATATATGTACCTATATAATGCATGTATACACGTGTGTTCAGATAAAGTTTCTTCGTTTAGTCATTGGAATCATTAAAATACGACAGTCAGCGTCATTTTCTTGGTGCCTTTTTCTTAAACAATTATCTCCTCCTCCTCCTGTGTCAGATACGTACCCATATTCAATGTTAATAGAATGTCCCCCTTCTACATGTTTCTTGCTCACATTTATCCTTGCGCGCATTTCCTTATCTCAGTCGTGGTATGGTTGTAGTCCCGTTTACCACGAGCACCTACCGTATCCCGAGTTATAAAGAACCTGTTAACTTTCGTCAGTTCTTACGCGTTTTGACGAGGAAAATTCTGTGATAACTATTCCTTGCGCGGTGAAAAAAAGAACTAGTTGACAGAAAAGTTGAGTAATTAACCGGTTTACCTGCAACGGCGATCGAATATCGCAACATTGATCGGAAACTGTGAATTTTTATTTGTTCATTTGCAAGTGAAGAAATTAGATAAATTGAAAAATATTTCCCACTGTGCTTAGAAACGTCAGTAAGATGACGCGACGAAACAAAGACTACCTTGAAGATATGTTAAACATGTCGGATCTCCCAGACACTAATGACTGCCAAAGCGAAATCCCTGAATTCTTTGCGGGATGCAACGTCTTAATAACCGGTGGATCCGGTTTTCTCGGCCTTCTTTTAATAGAGAAGTTGTTACGGTAAAAAGATATTTTAACATAAAAAACTGTATAAAAAACCGGATGCAAATAGCTTATTAAAATGCATTAATATGATATAAACTGATTTTTAACGTGAGCACGGAAAAAAAAGATTAGTTACCATAGCTAAAATAGTCATAATATATGGATAACTAACATTTTTTGCAACGAGAGTAACATTTTTTGCAGCGAGAACAAAAGGTTTTGCTACTATTACTAAACTAATAGCTCTCGCTGCAAAAAATATAGCTCTTGCTGCAAAAAATATTAGTTATCCATATTTTGCGACTAAATTTAGCTAAATTTTTTTCCGTGAGGCATTTTAGTTTGTTCACTTTATTACAAATAATATATTATTAGAATCACAAATTTCGTATAAAACGTAGTTCAATTTTTATCAGTTTAAATAGTGATAGAAATTGATCGTTTTTAATAGATTGTATTATATATGACATATTGTATATGTTGCAAATTTGACTAAAAAATAACATTTTTAGATGTTGTCCGGATATAGGAAAGCTGTACGTATTCATGAGAGCGAAAAAAGAAAAATCACCTGAACAAAGGATCAAAGAGCATTTTGATAACCCTGTTAGTATATAATATAAATA